TGTTGGAAGTGGCTCACGCGCCCCAACGACGACGAAAGTAAAAAAAAAAAAAAAAAAAAACGAAAAGGTTTCCTAAAATTTCTGCTTTCACCATTATGCCGGGTCACTGCAAACCAAGCGATCAATTTTTACATGTTTTTACGATTATATTTTGTTGTTGAAAATAAAAAATATTATATAGATATTGATTCTTATTAATAAAAGTACTAAAAGCACGACACGCATAAGAATTCGACTTTTTTTGTAATGAGTGTGTTATGGCTCATCGAAGGGGATATTAAATGGTTAGGAAGCAATTTATCTAAATAGATTGTCGTTGAAATTTTTCGATAACCGCATCGCTATTCAAACGCGTATGTGCTTTATCGCTTAACAATGTGCGCTTGTCACACATATACGAAGGTGTATACACGTATATATTTCGACTATATATTCGACTATAATTTCTCTATTGCTGTTCCCCTTTCCAAGGTGGTCGCATAGGGCGCTGCCTTATCACACGTAAGCGAGTGTATCGCGCTGATAGGATCGCTTCCGGATACATAAGTTGCCCGAACAAAAGCGAATGTTGGCGAGTACGCAAATTGTATCTCTCGACATTAAAAATTTAAGAGGTAGTTTTTATAAGACGCTTAGCGCAGAGTTCTGAAATTTGTGTTGATAGTCGACCATTTCGATGGTCGATCGTTATCAACATTATTTCAAGATTCGTGCTCGACCATCATCGATGGGACCACGAATCTTGAATTTCCGTGCTCGACCATGGAATCAATTAAACCATGGGACCACGGATGCATGGATAGGCTAGGAAAGATTCTGAAGAAATTAGCGTATAGCAAGACTATATTTCAAATATATTTCAAAATCAATAACCAAACAAAAATCGATAACGAAAAATGCGCTCTTTTATTAAATAAATTATTTCAAATGTAAAATATAAATTTTCAATTTTTGTCCCGTTTGTGTAAAACATATTCTTTTTATTTTTAACTTATATTTACATTCGCATATGTATTTCAAAAATTTTAATATATTAAGTTATTCGGAAAATTTGTAGCAATTTTTATGACTAAATAAAAAATAATTGTTTTATATTTAAATTCATCTTTATTCAATAATATATGTACGTTGTTTTCGACAACATTTGGCCATCTTTAACAACTTGTTTATACATATTACTAAATAAATAAAGATATAAATATATAAAAATTGTTTTTGATATTCTCATAAAAAAGACTATAAACTTTTTGAATAATTCAATATATCTTGCTTTAATTCTTATTTAAAAACAACATTTATTAAATATTCCAGAGTTAAATATTCAACGAATCTAAATCCTAGCCCATCCATTTTAAAATAATGGATCTATGACATTATATATTTGTTATATTTTATCTATAGCATTCTTGTATATCATTATGCTTATAATATTGCATTGTATGATTTTCTTTATTTCGTATTGAAATTTATCCTATTTGTATTCACATATACGAGGATAAAATAAAAAGTAAAAAGATTTTTCATTCTCAAATTAATGAAAAATATCCCAAATATTGCAAAGAGACAAACTAGTCCTCATATAATGTTCTTGTCTACACTTACATACTCTTTAATTCATATATTTTTTAACCCATTGCAAACCGGAAACATAAATCAACATGTCCTGTTTTTGAAATGTTAATTTACGTGTTTCGAATAATCTTGTGTGGTATTATTAACATGTTCCATGCCGTGTGGCTTACTGGTGGCCTCACTAAATTTTCTATTCAGGCCGTTTAAAATAAAATATTTTATATTTCTTAAATTTATTATAGCTTTTTATGATGTACAACATATTTTGTGTATGTTACATTTTATTTTTAGTAATTTCTATAATTATAATTTTTTACAACATATACATAAATTTCACGACGTAAATAGAAAGTTATGTAAAATCAGAGCGACATGGAACATGTTAACAGATAAATATATATAAAATATATATAACGCGTGTGACAAAAAATATAATTTAAATTTATCAAGATAATAAATAATTTGTTCTTCTAGAAACTAACTAAATTTAAAATATTTTGCAATGTGCGAACTAAAATTTTTATAAAATCAATATCATATACGATCTACAATGTGTTAAATTTTATAGTATGTATCTTATAGATCCATTATCTTAATAACAATCAAGACAAATTATAAACTCACTCACCGATTGATGCGCAGCAGCGGAGTTGTCATTCTGTTGATCTGCATAGTTGATGATCTGTAAAATACAAAAATAAGTCAAGATTATAGTTGCGTTCATAATGAATATTTATCAAATCATAATTGAGTACATTGAACTTTTAATTCTTTTTGTAAGCAAATATGGAATAAAAGAATTATTGAAAAAGTTTAATTATTAAAATAAAAAGTAATAAATATGTAAATAAATTCTAATAATAATCAATATTAACTAATGTAAATATTTTAAGTCTTTTAATTTACAACATTTTCAACAAATAAATGAATTATTATTTACCGTAAAGTTGCTCCGCCGGCGCCTGATGCTCCTCCTGAGCCTCCTCCTCCTCTCAGTGGTCCTTCGAAGCACTCACATTGAATCACACGCGTTCGCGGCGCATGCATTGCTCGCATGCGTACCTGAATACGAAAATCGCGCGATACTTAAAACGGCACTCCCGACATCACAGGCGAATCGAACCGAATTGTCCAAGCTGTGACGTTACGCGCGAATTCCGTCCGCGTTTCAGACGACCACATTTACTAATTGGGGCACGATTCTCTCAAAACAGAAGGCAAAGATAAGCTCGAAGAAGATGAGGTGATTAGTCATCCAATCAACCGACTAGATACAAGACATCTGAAAAGCAATCGGTAGCGTTTGACTAACTCCGGTAGCCGTCCTCGACTACCTTCGACAGTCCGGCTATCTGTACAACTAGCGCGCTGCACGTAGAACCGAAGATTGCCCTGCCGTAGTGGAGATTTTATGATTGAAACCGACCTTTCCCTCCCCCGAGCCAAGCCTAAAGTCAAAAAAAATCGTGTCCCAATATTTGTCATACAGCAAAAATGCGTTCATCTATAGATTCGCTATAACTCTCGGCATTAACGGCACTCCCGACGCACATTTTATTATACTATACGACGGAACGAATATATTTTGTAGCACCGATTACGCGCACAAAGTTGGTCTGTAAAATAAAAAAATAAATGCAGATTAGTGTTGAAATAAATTAATATTTATAAAATAATTACTGAGCACATTAAACTTTATATATGGCGATTTGAAACGCGAAGGTTTATCTGTAAAATATACAAATACATTTATACTACAATGACATCCAAAATATTTTATCTAATAAATATCAATTGTTTTTGAAGCACAATTTAAGAAAAGCCTGATCAAAAGACTGAAATAAGAATTTCATGAGACATTTGTGAATGTCTTTTTAATAATCTTTTAACCAATTTAAAATCAATATTACTTCAGTACAAGTAGCGAGTAATAAGTTTTAAATTTAAATTTTACTCAAGTTTACTTGAGATAAATTAAGGAATATAATTGTATTATTCATCTAAGCCTCTAAAGCTTTGTTATATTATATTGTGATCGGGAGCGTTGCGACCGTGAGAAGTGCCCCTACGCTGGAAGTGATTCGGGCGCTCCAACCGCTAAGCAAAAAAAAACGCCACGCCACCACGCGGTTTTTACACACTTCAAAAATTATCGGGGTCTATTACAATTTTTCGTCCCTCCAAATTTTGCTACGCTGAAGCGTATATTGCGTACTATATTGCAACGCCCCCGCGTGTACCAGGAACTCGCAGAAAGAGAACACGAACAGAAGGCCCCTTAGTCCTCTGTTCCCTTCCGCCATCCCCCGTCGCGCTTATCGCCTCTTCCCCTCTTCCTGTTCGCCGTCCTTAGCCCTCACAATCAGTTACGTTTGTGTGCTCGGACAGCATTACCTTAATTAAGAGCGAAGTTTTCTCAAGCTGCTCGCGCGAACACTTCCTAAACTAAGTTCCTTATTGATTTTATCTTAATATCCTTAAGTTCTTCGCAGTTCTTCCTTTTATTTCTCTCGTTCTACGTGCCGCGGCGACTAAATGGCTTTACATGCATAAGATGTCCCATCATTAATGTCGCAAAACTTATCGTCGCTTTCATGAGAATTCCCGGTAACTCCATTTTTCTAAATATGACACGCGACGTGAAGACTGTTTAAGAATTTTCTAATGTAGTTGTGCGTCAAGTTTGAGATTCATCCTTAAATGATTTATGATGCTACACCTTACAGTGCGAAAACGGGTGCTTTTAACATCGACAAAAGATTATACCGATTATATATTTTCTTCACGTATCTATTACATAAAAGATTTCAGATTTTATATTTAGAGCAATAATTTTCAACTTTTGCATGGATTTATTAGCTATCCAATATTATTAATAAATAATCGGTCACATTTTCAGTGCATCTCGGTTGTATCTTATTCGTTGCTCATATACGTACATCCTCTTCGCTAAAAAATGCATTTTTTATAATAAATTACTTACCATATCATTGCTCTGCTATCGCCCAATGCCTCCTAGGCTTCCTTCTCTTCTCAGCGGTCCTTCGAGACACTCACACACGCGTTCACGGCACACGCATTGCTCGCGTGCGTATCTGAATACGAAAATCGCTCGCTATTATAAACGGCACTCCCGACGCGCATTTTGTTATATGACGACAGGAGGAATACATTTCGTAGCACCGATTACACGCGCAAAGTTTTTTTCTGTAAAATATAAATACATTTGCATTACAATGATATCCGAAACAATACTATAGTGATATAAGTTATATGTATATGTCTTTCAACCTACCTACTTACATTCTTACACATTTCTTTCTTCGTCTACATATTTTCTTTAGTCCTTCTTTGAGCAGGGACAGCGGAAGGAGATATAAATGTCCTCATTTCTGTTCGAACTTGTTCAGAGCCATTGCGGTCAAAGATCACAGCATGCCTTTGTTCTTTTTCCTCTTTTCAAAAGAAAAACGTGTTGCTACATTCTTTCTGCATGAATGTTTCTAATATCATTGTATGCCCTGCGGAAAATCTGCAACACATGTGTGAAATTTACCTTTGTCAACAGATGTAATATTGAAATCCATCAATTGAAACAGATGTAATATTGACTACACAACAGATGTAAACTGAATTTGTAAAAGTCACTTAGCAAGTTAAAGAAAAATTAAGATTATCTATATGTATGGAAACATAATTCCAAAATAGAGAGTAAATCGTATAAAAGATTTTCTAATTACGAAAATGTAGACAATGAACTTCATAAGCGTATTGAACTGTATTAATTGAAATAAAAACATAATAAAATTTATTTAGATTTTTCATTACAAAAATGAATTTAAGAATACCGTTATTTATATTATCTTTTTCTGAAACATTTTTTAATTGTTTAATGTAGACATATATCTGCAATAAAATTAGACATACTAATATGTGTATTTGCAAGAAAAGCACGCTGGTTAAAATGACCGAGGTGCTAATTTTAACCGTGAAATTACGTGAGTACTTTTGGGATAAAGGTAAAGCTTAAACATCGTTAGTTTTCGTTAAACACAAGGAAATACATTCACCGCCGTTTGTTTTCGACTTCTGTTAGAAGGGAAAGGATTTCCTATCAAGGGTCGCAGGTGGAGATAACTCGGTGGAGATGAGATGGATGAACGAACGGCAGTAACAAAAAGAACATAGCTTCTAAAAGGTGAGGAGTGACCAGGCAAAGGGAAGGCGCCTAAGAATCAGTCTGTCGTGGTAGAGCCAGTCGTGATCTATACTCGACTCAAGGCTATCAACCTCTAAGCATCCATTAACTACCAGCCGCCAATGTATACCGCACACATATATACGTACGTACACACACGCAAACGAGTTTCTGCGTGCATATACACACACGAAGCGACTGCCCATTCCGTGGTATTTTCACCTTTGCCGTCCGCAATTTCGCGGATCTAAGCAACAGCGCGATTAAACCGCAAAATACTATTCCCGAAGCATGAATTACTGCCGAACGCACATTATCAGTGCGTATGTTGAATGCGTTTTATCGAATCGTTAAAAGCTTTACTCGTGAAATATTGTACACGTAAAACGATGTCATAAAAGAAAACGGAGCGTGTAATGCAAGCATATTAACAAAGTACAGAATGCGTACATCGAATTCGAAGCTACGGTTACATTAATACACGAGAGCGGACGATCCTCGAAAGAGACACCGTTCAAGAGCAACAAGTGAAAGTTTACCGTGAAGTAACGTAGCCGGAAATCGTGCACGGCGCGCATTATCTCCTTTCCCACTCCTATCCGCTCGCTATAATCAGCTTCTTTGTATCGAATCGTAGATCTCGCTTTGCTTTAATTCACTATTAATCGTTATCAGGCACGATTGGGACATTGTCGATCGATGCAAACGATCTTGTTAATGCGCATCCATCTTTTCTCGATCGGAAATTTACGTGATGAATTCAGTCTCACAAGTACCAAGCTAGCATGATGGTAACGCGGCGCTAGTTCGTTCGCTCCTCAGAGTTCGCAATATAAACCGACCTGGCCAACAAAAACTGGCCGAACAGGTAGCGAAATATGCCGTGAGGTTAAGCGCAGTGAAGTAGACGCTGTCCTAGACGCCGTTTTGCTCGACGCAACACGTTTCCTCGACAATAAATTCTACACGCGCGCGCGTTAAAATTCACTTTATCGAGTCGGTAACGAGTTTTGAGCCGACAATGAGTTTCACATCAAATTTTGTCGCAAGCCAATCATGCAATATTATCTAACTAGATTTTCGAACCAAGTTATTTCGATGTTATGCAACTCGGTTCGCAGTTTTGTATAAGTTAATATTTTGCCATTACATCAAAGAAAATACACATTTGCTAGAGAACTCGGTTTGAAACTCAGCTCAGCTCGGTTTAACTCGAGACTCACTAGAATAATATAACCCTGCTTAAATCGCAAGTGCGCGTAATTATTTCCTTGTTGTTAACGCTCAACAATTAGCGAAAGTTTTTTCGTCGGATTTATACTATCTCGCTTTTTCTAAACCTCAACACGAAATAATTCCAGAGATATATAAACAGCGCGAACGTATTCTTAATTAATGTTATTGCGGATTTTATCTAATCTCAATAAACTTTTATATTATTAAAATCTAAATACACATACGCTTAACACAAAAAATTAATACATGTGTAAATACATCTGTACATAACTGAAAACAAAACATTAAATACTATTTAATAAGGAAAAAAGTTAATGCATAAGATTTATGTATTATTAAATAATTGTTGTAAATTATAGAATAAAATATCTTTTAATTAATGTATCAATTATTCTTTAAATAATACTTCCCAATTTTTTGAAAAATAATTGCTGCAAAATTTTCTTTGTCAGAACTTATAATCGTATGTGAAAATACGTGCATTTGTATTTTCCGTAATTATAATATTACTTACAATCTATTATTGATACGTTAATTATGTGATAATAATATATTAATAGTATTAATTGCCCGATTTATTCATAAATGAATTACACAGAATAGTTGAATACCAATGGTCACAATTAATGCTTATTTTGTTACCATTAATTACTAAATCAGATTGACTGCACTTACGTTAGTTGTACAATAGTTTTTTTCAATCTATATTTCAAAAATCGTAAAACAAATTTTGTACGTTTTTAATACAATAAAGAATTTAATATGCTGGTGCACGTTTGTTTCATTTCTATATCGATCATTTTCATATAAAAAAGTGATGTAAAAATTGTGAAAAAAAATACATATAAAAAATATATCTTATCAAATGTAATTTTTATCTCTTTTTAAATTGTTTTTTAGATATATTATTAATAGATTTTTTAGTAGTTTAATAAAAAAAAAATTATTATGTAGAATCGTATCAAATAGTCTCACAGATAATATTTAATATGTATTTGAATATCAAATAATTGCATATGGACTTACCGATCGTTATCCTGTTGCTTTTTTCCGTCGATTAATCCATTCTATCTTTTATCATAAACTTTAATTTTCCATCGATAATTAATCACTCACCGCACTGGCAATATTTAAAACTCGATAAACGCCTGATACTTTTTCTCGGCACTCTCAAAATTTATGTATACGCAAAGACTGTCAGTGAACGTAATCAGCGGTTCATATTTGCGGCATCTTATACTTGTGTGTAATCGCCTGAGATGCTTTTTTCGTTGACTTAAAAATATTAATCCTTTTTGTTGAAGAAACTAACTTAAGCATTACCAACGTATAATTTTGATGCTAGTTGTTAATACTAAATACAGACATAGCAAACTGCAAAAAAAACGCAAAGCACAATATTAAATTATACACAATGAAATATCTATTATAATATCTTATTGTGGCCAAACTAAATTAACAAAATTTTTTTTCGTCAGCTATGCATGACAATAAAATGTACATATGTACATTTTTAAAGAATTTTATTGTTCAAGTTCTATTATAAAAATATTGCGGTAGTAAATGTAATAAAAGATTATTGCGTTCAATGTGTGACAAGAAAAATACTTACAATCTGGTTTAGGTTATGGTTGAGGAGCTGCTATTGTTTCATGTATTAATATGTTGATGGTAATAAAGACAAACAACCATGTTCTGAGATTTATTTTTATGTGATGATCCAATTTGTAGCAGTTGCATTCCTCCGATGTAATATTTCAAAAATCTTTCTGAAAATAATAACAAAGATCTGAAACTATACACATACACACATCGTTAACCTTAGCTTATATTAAAAATATAAAAATTGTTAAAGTATAATACGATTTATATCTTACTTGAAATAATCGCTTCGCCATTACAAAAGTAATTTCGCGAAAAACAGTTCACAAAAAGCGTGATATAATTACATTGAAAGAAAAATCTATTTAAATTGTATAATGTTTCGATTTTAAATTATTTTATTTTCTCGTTTAATATCACTCTGACTGAGCGAACTACTTGGAATTTAGCGTTAAGACCGCTCAAGGACATTGTTGTTATTGTGGTGTTTTACCTACTCTTGAAGACAACAGAATTTGTCGACGAAATTATTTTAAAATTTATGAATCTTTCTAAGTCATCGATGGTAAACGCCATTTGACGCCATTTTGATGTAACGTATGGATCAGTATCGTATGATAAAAATATAATACAAACAATATCAAAATTAATTTGCAAATATCTAAAAAATGACAAACAAAATTGATTTAACGTTGGAAAGAAAAATTTTGTATAAAATTGCAGAAGGGCAACCTACCTAAATGCAGATGCATCTTTTACAATCTTTTATTTGAAGTTAGATATTGCTGTTCCTCGTCTCGTCATATACATATGTTCAAGCAGAACGCAAATTCGCGGGAACGTTGTCACTCTTGGACGGTTGAGAAGCAAACGCATGTAGGATCGCAATTGATTCCGTATTGATATCGAAATTCTGTTACAGTACAAATAGCATGTGCAATAATCAAGCAAATTATGCAAGTCATGACATGATATGTCATGAATAGCGTAACTAATATATAATACCATGCGGTTTTAAGAAAACTTTAAGGCATATTCTAAAAATTTTGCGATGCTCCGCAATAGAGTTTCGCCACAGTGAAAATCCGCCTTGTTTGCGGATCAAAAATTTGTTGTAGTAACATTATATAGTTTTTATTTTTTTAATTTACGAAAATGTGTTCTAAAAATGACAAAAAAATCATTATTTATTTTATTTATATTGTTTCAGTGACATTATAAGTTTGAACTTTATAATTTGTTTTATATCAGTTTATAAAAACTAAACGCTACAGAGGTCGCACACCTTAATACGCCCATAATCTATGGAACACTAAAAGCGTTTAAATTGTCGACAGAGATTTTAAGAAAACAAAATAATTCTTAAATTAAAGAAAAATGTATGAAAATCTGTATAAATCTAAGAATTTATTAAATAAATTACCATGAATAAAAAATTTGATCTCTCATGTAGAAATTGGCTTAATAATTAACTTATTTTGTACATATAAAAAATAATTCGCGCGACACTAAACACTTTACATTACATAAATGTAATTTAATTAATACTAAATAAATACTGAATTTTTTAGTTATTGCTTTTCATTATTATTTATAAATAATAAAAAGTTTCTTTAAATTAAAAATTTTAATTTTTTTATTCAAAAGTTTGTTATATAGTTCATATATTTAAAAATTAATCTTAATATCAAAAGATATTACATATTTATATATATATATAGATATATGAAGGAGGTATATATTTGTTGTATTATTTCTCATTTATGAAATATCTTACTCTTTTTCTTACAAGTAATTGTAATGAATCTAATTGAAACAATATTTTTGAAATAATATACAAGTATCAAATTCCATACCAAATTCTATGTATTGTTAAAGGTATTACATACATATCGTAATATTATTATATATTTATACTTAATATTACATAGGTATTATAGCGAGGAAAAGCAATAAATTATTTTAACATTTTTATTTGTACATATTTATACATTTGAGTTTATTACACTTAATTATGTGAAAAGTGATAATGAAAATAAAATATTTATACACATATTTTAGAAATTCATAGAATCTTTTATTAAAAATTATAAATTATAAAATTTTTATAAAGATATCTGTATTGTTTTTTTAGATACTGTTATGGTTTTAAAATTACTTAAATTTTTATTACTACTAAATATCACCATATATACAAAATTAACACTTTGCTAAATTTGAATTGTATTAAATTTTCAATGAAAGTTTTTCACAAATTATATTTGAATCATAAATCAAATATATGCGTTATTTTTCATTGAAATTGTTAAATGTTAAGATATTGTTAAATCATAATAAGTAATACTATGTATAGAACATAGCACGGAAAATAGAAAGTAAATTTTATGCACTACTTTTTTTTATTTTTTTACATTTGAGTGCGTAATTTGATGATAGTTAATTATTGTTCAATAAAATATTGGCACAAGTGTTTTCACAGATTTTAATTTGGTATTTTTATGTAAATTGTGTAAATATAATTTTATGTAGATATTAGAGAACTTTTCAAGTTTCAGAATTCACATATCTCTTGGCAATCTTCTAAAGACTCAAAATTATTTAAATTGTTTCTACAACCTTGATAATAGAACGATTCGCAATGTCCTGTTTCTGAATTGTACCAATATCTTAGTACTACAGTCTTGACGAACGATTCGCAAAAACCTAGCTCCAAGTGCAGATAACAAACTAGAAGCAAAATGCAAGTGTATTAAATAATGTACAGTAGAAATATCTATTATAATGCCTTATTGTGGCTAAAATAAATTGACAATTAAAATTTTTTTCTATCAACATATAGTTATGCGTGATAATAAAATGTACATATGTACATTTTCAAAGAATTAAATTGTTCAAGTTGTATTAAAAATATAACAAATGTAATAAAATATTTTTGCGTTCAATGTGTGACAAGAGAAATACTTACAATCTGGTTTAGGTTCTGGTTCAGGTGTTACTGTTATTGTATCATGAATTAATATGTTCATGATAACAAAAACAAATAACAACGATGTTTTGAGATTCATTTTGATGCGTATGAATGTGTACGATTGTTCAATTTGTAGCAGTTGCGATTCTCTGATGAATATCTTTCAAAATATTTTCGAAAATAATGACGCGTGTGCAGTGATCTGAAATTATACATATACTCATTTTTATGCTTAATTTATATTCAAAATATTACAAGTGTTAAAGTACAATATAAGATTTTATATTAAAATAATAAACACTTTATGAGTGTAAGTGAATAATACCGATGCGTCCAGAGTAAGATTTCGTCGAATTTTTTTTAATGATTGTCTTAATAGGTAATTATTTCCAACATAACTGCACGATCGCCATTTTTTACTTCGATGCTCAAAGTCGATTTACATGTGACAGTGGATAGCCAATTGACCGAGATAGGTGAAATGTGTCGAGCGGTTCGTGTGGTATGACTGTGTCATCAAATTGATATAGCGCGCGACGCGCTTATTAACTACGTCATCTTACATTCGTATAATTGCTCGAGACATTTTTATTCAACATTTTCGACAATATTTATGTGCGACGATCTATACAGGTTGTATTATCAAAATTTGATGCATCTACGACGTAATTATCCGATGCTTTTTGTTGACGATTTCAAAATTCATGTATACGCATTCAATGACTAGCAGATACAGAGGTATGTGAAAGGTTAATACGCCAATCGTCAAGACGGTCGTTAAAGAAAAAAAACTCGACGAAATTTTAGCCTACCTCGGATCCATGCATCATACTGTTAATCTCTCTTACTTGTAAAATACGCGCATATGATCGCACGATCGTCCATTATTTTTCTTCGATGCCCTCAAGTCGATCTTCACGCGACGGCGAACAATCAACGACTAGCGGAGATACGTGAAATGTGTCGAGCGATTGGGTGTCAGGACTGTATCGTCAAATTCATAGCACAACGCGTTTGCTAACTATGTCATCATACATTTTTATAATTGCTCGAGTTCACATCCACGTATCGAACTTTTAATCAATTTTATTTGGGAAGTACTTACTCTTCATAACGATTGCACAATATTTTTCTTCCATTTTCTCGAAATTTTTCTATACGCGACGACGGACATTCGACGACTAGCGGAGATGCGTGAATAGCATCGAAAGGCTTGCGCAGTTCGCCAAGTTCAAAGTGACGCGTTGCAAAGTCGTTATTAAGTTGTTTGAATGGAAATTTCTTGTCGATCGCAAGGTAATTACTAATTAATATTGCATATTTTGATTTAAATGCACATAAGTATGCATAATTTCAATGTAATAGTTTTCTGTAAACGGTAGAAATATACTCCCGACGGTAGCACGTTCAATATACACACTCTCGAAGCACGGCAGATATTATACTGTTTAGGTTATATGGCGCAAAGCAACTCCTCTCAGTTCGGAGAATCGTCTGGCGATTGTTTTTCCAAGAAGCGCACTTTGTGGACTTCGAGTAAACATGTTTACATTGCGTATGCCTTACGGAAAGAGTTACAGAGACAATTTTAATATACTTTTCTCAAAATAAATGAACATGGACAGAATCGAACAAAATTTCGGGTATTTAACCTAAATTTAACTTATTTTATTTCATTAATATAATAATATGTAATTAGTAATTATTCATCGATCGACGAAGCATTCGTGATAATTGTAACACAAATATTTTAAATATTATTGAGACGGTTTTTTCGCGTTGATCAGGAAATTTTCAACGGTTTCCGTATCGTTTTCTGCATTTTTTTCGCGTCGAAATTGAATGTGAGAAATTGTGTATGAATATTTATATCAAAAGTATAATATTAAACCGTGTAATCGTGTGATTTGTACGTGATAATCGGTTGTGTTTTCGCGATGTGCGTTTTATTCGTGTGAGTGAATTTTCTTCCCGGGATTTTGGGCCAAACAGACGTTGACTTCGCTGGAATAATAAATGCAGCAAATACACAACAAATGGTGAGTGAATTCATTGTATAATTTTATTCTTATCTTATTTAATCGTAAAAAGAAACACTCTCAACATGATCTTAAGCGTAAGATTTGAAAGACTTAAACGCGTATATCGAATCTTTTAAAAACCTAAAAATTAAATAATTTATATAATTAATTTTGTTATTATCATGAATTGTTATAGTTCAACGATTACGATTAGGCATTACGATATAGCATAATGAGAAAGCACAACATTAAATACATAATTTTGTAGAAATATGATAATGTATTTCATTTTGACATAAGCAACTTAATTAATTTGTATTTCTGTTATGCAGTCATCTCTACAAATAAAATTAAATATGAAATTTAAATTACATATTGTTAGATAATAATTTTATTCAATTTTGCGTTTTTTTCTCATTTCTTTCTATAGAGAATTGTTGAAAGGATTAATAAAATTTTATTTTAACTTTGACTAATACTTACAAGAACGATTTTAAAGTAGTGTTTCCAGATTAAGTTAATACATTATGCTCCATTATCCGATAAACGTGATTTTATAAATTTAACGAGTATGCGATACTCGTCATATATGATTTAAAACGACTTTTGTGAACATCTGCGCTTGAGACATAATGTACGACGAGCTAGCGTGCTCAATAAAATTGCGCCGTCAAGTGGACTCATGAGATTAACTTGCCTTTGAATGGTGCATCAAAGAGGTATATGCGATGTCGCAAATAATTTAAACTCGGCCCGCGGAAAACTTCCGTATTTCTTTTTTCAATTTTTTTAGCGCTATCTTTTCACTTCTTTGCATTTGTCCAACCGCTTGTCCAATCGTTAGAATGAAAGAAAAAATAACGAAAAAGACAGAATATAATAAATATTAATATTAATAGATAACATCAGACAAAAAAAGCATCGTAATAAGTTTTTCTAATAATAGAATTGATGGCACTTACAATTAGTAATTCTTTTCCACTTTGACGTTATCATGTGACGATGCAAATATGAAAATAGCGCAAGAGAAGTAAGAAAAAGAATAAAAAGTCAGAAAAAAATACGGAAGTTGAGTATTTTTCTAGTTTATCTTAATCCAAAAGCGTAGGTATACGATTTGCCCCGGACTTCAATCGATTCTGAAAGATCTCAGGGATCGTGACCTTTCTTCGGTCATTATAGCCGCCATAAATCATGCGGGAAAATTACAACGCAGACTTCTCGTGATGAGAGTATTACTTGCCAACGAATACGGGAATATCCTTGGTGAAATCAGACGAACTAACATTTTGCGTGTACCACAATGCGCAGCTCGTTGAATAGTATAGATTTTCCTACGCAATCATGATGTTTACTTTCGCGGTTTTCGATAACGAGAAGATTTCGATATAGGAGGATATTTAGCGTTTAATACTAAAAAAAATATTGCAAAGTGGAAAATAATTCAGCTTAAATATATCCTGACGCGTACTTGATAATTAACATGACATGAAAAATACAAGAACGAATGGAATTGGTACGCCTGATGCCCGATGTACTGTATAAATCGATAATTGGAACATCAATCGTTTTACACCTGGAATTTCCAATCTTCGCAAAACACGACGCGTATTCGGCAGGTCGGTCGTATTTTTCGCTCGATCCTCGTACACTGATTACATTATCGTTCATTTTACGGTGCCAGGCATTTCGCTCGTTTAACGCTCGCACATATTTTTTGCTCGCGTGCAATTTGCGGGCCTTCCGATTTTGAATCGAATTAATTTCTGCTATCCGGAGTTTAGCTTGTAAACAATCAACGCGATTATCGTAATCGAGGGTCGCGCTATTTGCCTGTTCACACCGGTATGGCACGCATGCAGTTGTTTCGCTGACAGATATTGGACAGTATATTGATTAAAACTGCAATTATCGAACGAGACCACAAAATCCGATAAAAATCGAAGGTTCAGTCTGCGATAATGCCGTCGAATAAATTGGCAATGGTCACAGTTGGCAGTTTCATACTCGTGTAGAGATTTGTGGAGCTTCAGCGACGATCTCGTTCGGAATGCATAATAATTCTATAACTTTTGAGCATATTTTTATGATTTTCCTAAATAATGTAATAAGCAGTTTAGCGCTATATATATTTAAAAAATATAGCTTAATGTGGGTTGCAACTTCGTTGGCGTTTGACAATTTATTTCCAGAAATGGATGCTCTGCAATATCTAGTAGCTGCTTGAGAAATATAAGAACTCCGAATCTTCTCGCTCGAAACTTCGTTCGCGACAACTGCTCCTGTGTAACAAGTTACTGAACTTCGTTCCCGGAAACTCGATTACGTTTTGAATAAATTAACGAGAATCTTTTTCGACCGTGCTCGTTACTCCCACGAAAACTGGAACGTGACCTTCTTTTTCGCACGACAAAAAAAGGAATGTCCGAAGAACATCAGTTCGGAAAAGTTGCAACTTCGTGACGCCGTCAACCTAACTTTGCGCCGCGAGCTCGGACGAGACGCTACCAGCCAGCGTCTCTCTTGTCATCGTGCTGACAAATTGCTTCGCGCAAACCGTCGCTAACGTAAACACGGAACGCCGTGTTGCAGACGGTGGTCCATAGACACACCCGATGCGCGGGCGGATGAGTAGCAAAGGTCGATCCATCGACGTAGTCGCCGGTCTACATCGACGGATCGATAAGTATTTCGACAGCGGCGAACAATGGTCCGAGCATGCCGCGCGCGGCCTTTATTCCAGGTGAGAATGGCGGTCGCGTACGGCAGGTGGGAAATGACAGTAAAAAGTTTGCCGAAAGAATTATGAATCCCCGGCGGCGATAGGGTGGGTGTAAACCGTTCATTCATTCGTATCCCAACCGCGCTTTATGGGAATTCCATTGGAAATATTTCAATACTCGTCGGAATAGCGGCCCATGGGATGGCCTTGCTTCGTCCAGTCTCGCTCCCGTTCGTATATATCGGTGGGTTTCCAGTCTCTAGTACGATCACATTTGCCGTACCAATAAGCCATGCTTAGGATATTGTACATTCTTCAGTTATTCAATCAGCACGTGCGTTATCGAAAATCTGGAAAAATGATTAAGCTTTGTTATTAAAAATCTAACATTTGCAAATCGGCTATAAAGTAAAAAATCTATATTTTCTAAGATTATTTTCGTGACACATGTCTTTATTTAGTATTGTAAATTTAAGTGATCTAAGATGCGATTATCTGAGAAATAATAGGAAAGTTAACCGATATAAAAATTCCGTAATTCTGATTAGAATTCATCAGGTTTCTTTTGAAGAATTCTAAAGTTAGAATTCTTCAAAAAGAAGCTGGAACTCTAATCAGAACTATGGAATTTTTATCTCGCGGTGTTAACTTCACACACCCGGAATAACGTGTAAATTTATCAATGAATTATCTTGATAGAAAATTTACTTTTTCATGGACGTTATACGTCCATGAACCAACATGCACGATGCACGACATATTAAAAAATCAGAAAGTAAAATCGCAATAAAACTCAGAGGTGCAAAATTAATCCTCAATCATACCGTTGTTTACAATGTGTTGTTTTTGTTGTTTTTGCCACATACGTTTTATAAAATATGACACGTGGATAATAAGTATATACTCGTATATGTAATTTATAAAATTTATTAAAGGAGTAAAATGGATTTGAACAATGGACTTTAATGTAACTTGAGCTTTTTAGTTAAATGAAAATATTTATTATACTATCTATACTTTTTAAAAATATTATTGAAACTCGAGAAAATAAATATTAATTTTTTTATATTGAATATGGATAGTCGTTGAAAATTTCCTTAATTGACTTCTACTACGTTTAATGGTCCAACGAATATCGTAACAATTTTCAAATGTAGCACCACGTTTCCGTAATGTTATACCGAGGTAAAATTTCAATTTTCCGGGCCATAAAGTATACGCTGCGTAGGAGAGTCCGTGAGCAGATCGCAAGCCGAACGATCTTCTAAATGGATATCGATGAAATGGTATATCATCTGTATTAAAATTACAGTAATTTTCCAACGCAAGAGAAATTCCACCGTTCTTAACGTACGCGCTCTATCATATTATTTTCCGTACTCTTTGTTGGAAATTGTTCTTAGTTATATCTATGTTTCAAACTCTGTATGACGTTAAAGAGATAT